TACTAAAAATACAAAAATTATCTGGGCGTGGTGGTGGGTGCCTGTAATCCCAGCTACTCGGGAGGCTGAGGCAGGAGAATCACTTGAACCCGGGAGGCGAAGACTGCAGTGAGCCAAGATCGCGCCACTGCACTCCAGCCTGAGTGACAAGAGCAAAACTCTGTCTAAAAAAAAGAAACAGAAAAAAAAAAACAGAAAAATATTTTAAAATGCAAAAGGAAAGATACCCCAAACTTCCACCATAACATAGAAACTCAAACAAGGCATTGCCCTGAACAGTTTTCAGGCAGACAGCAAGGCCAGGCCAAATGAGAAATGTAATACTTCTGCTGTTTCCCATCTTCCAGCAAAGGTTGCATAGAGTTTACTCAGCAGGACGGAGAGCTGCCTGGTACTAATGGGCCCGGATGTTTGTGGATGGCCTGCGGGGCACAGCCCGTGGTCCTGATGCTGTGATTTATGAAGAGAGGCCTCTGTGCCCAGCTTCCTTGACGACCCCCAGGGTTTTGGGGAGCTTGGCATGGGCCTGGACTGAGGGCCCACCCATGGTGGATGCTGTCATTGCCTCGGGAACTGGAGGCCCTGGTAGGTCTCCAAGGGCACAAGTGAGCCCTGCCGTGGGCCTAGCCTCTTTCCTCACTGTGCCCATCACTCTCTCCCCACCCCCGCAAGTCCTGTGGGAAATCACAGGGTGGGGCGCTGGGGTGTAAATGTCTCCTGGAATCCTATGGTGCTGGGAAGTGGGGTCTGGCTGGGGGTTAAAGGTCAGCCCCTACCCTAACAGGCTACAGGAGTCCAGGGTCACGTTCCAGCTGCTTCTTCTAAGTTTATGTCCCTGCCCCTCCTATAGGGGGTGGCACTCAGGAAGTGTCACTGTGGGGCTTCAGGGAGGCTGGACGAAGGTGGCTGGTGGTCGTCTCTAAGACCAGGGTGGGCAGCAACCCCACACGGCCCTGGGCCAAGGCTTCCTGCACAGCAATGGCTCCAGGGCTGCAAGTAGGCTACTCCCAGAGGCCGGCCTGCACGCCCCCAGTGAACCTTCCAGAAAGCACCACGCCCAGCCCGGCTACTCTTGGCAGTGTCCTGACAGCAGGTAGAGCTCACCAGAGCCACTGTGACCTTCCCCTCGAGTCAGAGACAAGGACAGATACGCACGCCAGAGGACACACATTCCACGGCCCACAGCGGCTCTCGCTTAGGGATTTTTTTTTTTTTTTGAGACAGGGTCTCGCTCTGTTGCCCAGGCTGGAGTGCAGTGGTGCAATCATAGCTCATTGTAGCCTCGACCTCCTGGGCTCAGGTGATCCTCCTTCCTCAGCCTCCTGCGTTGCTGGTACTACAGGCATGCAACACCACACCCAGTTAATTTTTGTTTTTTTTAGAAACAGGGTCTCACTATGTTGCCCAGGCTGGTCTCAAGCTCCTGGGCTCAAGCAATCTGTCTGCCTCATCCTCCCAAAGTGCGGGGGTCACTGGCATGAGCCACTGCGCCTGGCCCCTTTTGGATCTTCTGTGAAAGCGATGGTCCGAGGTGGCTGAAGATGTACATGTAAGAAAGGACAGAGGAGGCAGGAAGAGAGCAGCGCCAGGCGGGGCCGTGGGTCACTTACTGGGGACCGGCCTCAGCACGTCGGGGATGAGAATCTCCACCAGCGCCTGGTAGAGGATGTGGTCGCAGCTCCTCATCCACCTGAGGATGGGGTCGCATTGACACAGGGAGATGAGCTTGTCCTTGGGCAGGACGGCGCCCTCGGGGTCTTCGTCACTGTGGAGGGAGGGGGACAGGGGAGCTGTGGCCTGGCCCAGCTGGGCTTGCGCAGCCACGGGAGTGACCAGGGAGCTGGGCTGCGGGACTTCTGCCCAACAGTGGGGCTGGGGTTTTGCTCCCCGTCCCTGAGGCTCAGTGGGTCCCCTCCCTCTGTGTTGCTCCCAGCGGTCCACGCTGTCCCTCCCCTGCCGGTGGTCATACTGTCATACTGCGTCTCACTGCAGCTATGGGTTGGGGTCACTTCTACTTGGGATTGCATCATGGTCACCTCTAAAATCCTCCCTATTCAGACAGTCTGACCTCGAAAAGGGGCAGATGGCAATGTGAATTTCAAGTCAGCTCTACCAAGTCTAAAAATCACAGGGACGGAGGCAGAGGGGTCTGAGCGCTAATTCTTGGAGAGTTGATGCTTTTGTTTGTGGGTTACCTGTGGACGTCAGCAGGGGGCTAAGACTTGAGGGGGGCTGTGAACCCAGCCAGGGTGTGGCAGTCACCTGGCAGGAAGAGAGGTGGGGCCGTCGCTGGAGGAGGCCTTGGAGTTCCAGAAGGAGAACCACAGCTTCTCGATGTAGTGAAACTGGAGGTTCATCACCACATCCACGGTCGCCTAGGAATGAAGGCACCGGTGAGACAGACGGGTGCGTGCGCCCACCACGTGCACTCAGCACACGTCAAGTGAGCAGCCGTGATCCGGGCTGCAGTGGGGTGCCCTGGAATCCCAAGGGAGGCCACAGAGAAGAGAGGAGCAGGCGATGGACATGGATGTGGAGGGGCTGGTGCTCCAGAGAGGATGCTTGTGGGGGGCTCGGGGCTCCGTCTCCTCAGCATCACCCAGGGACCCTGGCGACCCTGGCCTGAGCGACGGCAGTTCCCGGGAGGGACACATAGGAGCTGCCTGCCTGGGCTGGGGCGGTCACCTCGCAGTGCCGTCTGTACACCAGCTGCAGGGCCTTGACGTCGTGCAGTGTGACGCCGTCCTGCAGCAGGACGCTGCCCAGGTCGGGCGCTGGGAACTCGGGGAAGACGTGGGAGACATCTGGGGGAGGAACACGGGAACATCAGAAACGGGGCTCTCAGGAAACCGCGGACAACTGGAAGGCCATGGGTGGATGGGGGGCCCAGAAACAGATGGTCTGCCCCACCCCATGCAGTCAGAGAATTTGTTTATTTCTTTTGTTTTTCTTTTTTGAGACAGGGCCTTGCTCTGTTGCCCAGGCTGGAGTGCAGTGGCACGATCTCGGCTCACTGCAACCTCCAGCTCCTGGGTTGAAGCGATTCTTCTGCCTCAACCTCCCGGGTAGCTGGGATTACAGGTGTGCGCCACAATGCC